CACGAAGCTTAATGCAAACCAACACACGTAGTGCGGAGCCAGCCACTTTCCTGTTACGTGCCGTTTCATGAGATACACCACTTTGTACAGATAACTTATGGACTATAAAATATGCCCTGGTTGGCGAACTCAGTGCCAGGTCGTAGGGCGTATTGCCATTCATGGCACATTTTGGCCAGTCACGCGGTGTTTCTGTCATTTTTTCCGGCTGTTTGATTCCGATATTTTTGAATATCACATATTCAATCGAGCTTTTAACTTAGTCAGCTGTGTTACTGCTCACACGATGTTCCGGTCAGTACCTTCTCTGGCCGTCATGTGTTAGGCGTTCTTGAAGAGTGCCTGAGGATGTTCGACGTACATGACGTTTGTATTACATCTTTGAAAACGTCTGTCAGCTTAGGGCCTGGCACATGCGATCTTGCGACTCGCAGGCAATGCTTTAATTGTAACTCTCACGCCATCGTAGGACGTGTGAGCGAACCGAGCGCGTCGCATTCAACCGGCAGCCCCAGCGCGTGTCAATAAACGTAAACAAAGTTTGACGACACGATGGCACACCACGCCGTGCATTGCAGTGAAAATGTACCGCTGATCTTTTGTCATTCAGTAACGGGAAGCTCCCCAAGCTCTGACTCGAGCACTGCATATGGCGCGCGTATAGTTGCCGATAAAAATATTTACAGATGTGCGAAGGGGTGTATCTAGAGAAGTGATCGAGTATCCCACGGCTTTCTTTGTGTCATTGCATGTGGGCCAAAATAACTCCTCTTTACACCAATGGAAATTTGGGCAATCCCCCCCCCTCCCCCTCTCTTCCCTGCATTCGCCTATGACCCTGCCTATAGGACACGACGCCGGAAGAAGTTTCTCATCCCGGATACTGTTGTCCCAGATGCCGTCCGCAATCCGTGAACAATACGATCGCCGGACTGGATGACGCTTCCATCTCGTGGCAACCAGTTCCAGGCTCTGCTGATATCCGAGTGATTTCTCGCACAGATAAGGCTGGCCATCGACCAGGAACCGTTAGATGTTAGCTAAAGCCATCCTAAAAGTCCCAAGTAAAGAACTTAAGTGGGTCTGCTCCCACGACTTTCCAGCTATTTCGGTTGCGGCTAACAATCATTTTGCGCCGTTTTTCACGAAGTTATGACCGGCACTGATGCTGTTTTTCGCGCATGAGCGGAGAATACGCCACTTTGTCACCCTCGGTTTGGGACTGTATGCCGCCATCAGTCATGGCTTCTAGCCGTCATGAACAATGCTGATCAGTAACACTTATCTGGCAGTCGAAACACATGACATGCCTAAACTGATCAACGATGGGGAACGCTTTTTTAGACAAGTCCGGTTCCCGACACTTCCTTACAAACTGCGTCGCAATGCGCTCCTCGATACCTCCCGTAAAGAGTGATTGGATGATTGTTGGGATGTTTTTGCAGTCTTCTAACTGCAACCAGGCACATTTCAAGTAAAAAGCTTGCTTAGATGTGATGCCTTATTAAACGAGCTAATTCGGGAGCAAAACCTTCGTGATCGGCTTTTATTACTCACTTTAAGGAGTGTAATAAACCACTTGAAACGTCCCGAAATAATGCTGGCACGCAGAAGCTTTTCGTGACACAATTGCATATAAGTACACCATTTTACGCAGTGTAATTAATTTACCAGAGGCAAAAAATTGCGGAACATTTAGGTGATTGCCGGCGGGGCCTTAGGCCAGTAAAGCTCAAAATGGTATATCCGCTGACACGCAAAAGACCATCTTCTGCTGACACATTGCTGACATGGTCCAAAAATGTTACTCAGATCGCGATCAAAAGTATACCAATCAACTCGCTATTATCGATTAAGGGAGAAAGACAGGCTGGGAAGGCGAGGGACTTACATTCTGTGACCCTGTGCTGTCCCTTGGTCCCATAAAGCTCAGAAAGTCTAACGTTTTCGGCCCCAGCCACGCAAAAATACCCATTCTTAATCCGATTGCAGTCAAAAGATCATCATCGAAGCGGTGTGGTCGATTTATGGCCGACGAACAAGCATGGGACACGTGAATCATCGCGTCGTGCCCACGAAGTTTAAATACTTTTTTTGTGGGACGCTGACGCGACAAAATACCTTGACTTCATTCGAATCAAAATAATGATCGCACCAATCTACGCGGATAATTGATATGCCATAAGCATGCATGGTTTCTCATGAGCGTGTTTTGTGCGGTTAGGAGCTGCGATGCTAAGCGCCTTGAAATGCAATGTTCTATTGATGTGGCAGTTGAACAATGTAAATGGTGGGGCAGATATAGTTCGAATCACGCTATTTTTAACCAAATAGGTCTTGACGCACCGAGTCTCCGTGAATTTCATTCTTATCTCGATTTTACTGATGCATAGAAACTCGATCTCCGCACTCACGTGCGACGCTTTGTAAAAATATCGTTAAAATGACCCCACACTGCGTGACAAGGTGCATTTTCAACGGGCTTGTACGATAAGTTTGTGAATCATGGCTCTGCGGCAAACTCCTAAAAATCCACTCAATCCGTGTCAAGAATAAAATTCCCACCGGTCCTAGATCAGCAAGTGGCTCAGTGCAAGTTTCGAAGCGTCACTGCTCCGGCATTGTGACGACACAGAATCACGCCACACTGCCCGCGGTTTCTCAACGTTAATTACGCATGCAAATACTGTAAAAAGTCACCTGGATAGGGAAGTCCCGAACTGTTCTAGACGTGTCACCACCACTCACAAGCGCAAACCTGGGGTAATTGTGTCGAAGGTTCCCAAATACGGCAAACTAAGTCAACGTCATTGATGCGGTTTATGATCTTTGTTCCTCAACCAATTCAGTTCTTAGGATTGCCCAACGAAAAGACTTGATAATATTGCCGAGAAAACAGTGAACAGCTATGTACTTCTTTAATCAAAATAGCATCGGAACAGAGGCCTTAAAACAACATGTCAAAAAATAATACGCCTCGTCTGTTAGTTCTGACGCCGTACCTAGTTCGGAGCATTCCTGATATTACACTAATAAAAGCCTAAGTGCTTTGAAAAAGAGGATTGGCCGCGTTGCCGACAGGCTTTGCACACTTCGAAGAAACATTAAATAGACACTCGCTATGCGCACCGTATATTACTGGCAACATGTACTTGTAGAAAAGATGATCGGCAAAAGTGACCATTTGCCATTTTCTACTGCAACGTTGCAAGCATAAATACACCAAACATCGAAACCCATTGTATTACATTTACCATGCCATAGGAAAGAAGAGGTAATGGACCAGTGAACTACCCACCATAGGAACATTCGTGTCATGCATGCCCAATTAAAACACTGGCTATCAACCGTTATTAATGTGCTTAGTCGGGCATTGTCTGTGTGATCGGATTCAAGTCCCGCCCGGTATCTGCAAACCTAAAAGCCTGGTCGTTCTGAAATTTCAGCGCCGCTTACAAGTTCTGGTCCTTTCCTTCAAGGACTTAGGTAAGAGAACTCTGAAGTTATCAGGTCAGCCTGAAGTGGTCAGGTCAAGGGCAGGTCAAGTAAGTTTTAAGTTGGAAATAACTGACTTTAATGTTGTGACGCATCTTTCCGCAATGTTGTTATCTTAGGTATCCAACAAAAGCTCTCATAAGCATGTACTTCGTCAGTCTTGGTCGAAATGAGGTCAAGGTTTATTGGCCACACCGAGCCGCACATGCGAAGAAGGACCTTTAAATTACATTTAGTCTGGGACAAAAAAATCGTAACTCGGCAACTGCGGCCGTTTGTTCAGTGACAACCATGATACCGTGTGGAGGTCAAAGGATGGAAAAAGTGATTCGCACGAATAGTAGCGGATTTTGCACAATCAAGGCTAGTTTGCACATTCTCCGTGCGCGAAAAAATAAAACAAATGTTCCCAGCTTCCCACGCATTTTTCATCATCCAGCACCGTCCAACTTTGGAATTTGATTCGTCATTTAATTACATAAAAAGATGGACAGCACCTGCACTGTGATCCAAAAAGATATATCGATAAGGTTAACAACTCTCTACAAAGCGGAAGTGCCGCCTTCAAGCCGACGAAACTAATCACGCGCCGTTGAGTCATGCGCGCGGCGTTATTATTCAACCAGCTTTGGGTTTGACATGTTCCATGGAAATTTTAGGACAACGCATGGACTGCACGCATTAATTGTGTAACCCATGTGGGAAGAGTTGGAACATATATGACGGAAATGGCATCGGTGATGTTACAGGCATTGCGCATGAAGTAAAGTACATTGGGGTACTCCATGTTATGCGTTTGGAACGTCACTTGTGTTAAATTCCCCGTCGCACCCGAATTTGCGTTCGCATGTCTCTAGTAGCTTCATGCATTAAGCTCTCACACTAAGTGTAGCTCTGCAGGTTGGCGCTGTCTTCCTAAAAGAGCTCTCATTCACGCAGTGCACAGCTCCTTCCGTCACCACCGCCCGTTCAAAAACGTTGCGAGTTGTCGCACCTACGCAAAAAGCATATCGCAACCAAGTAGTTTCTTGAAAAACGTCAAGCGATTGCATGTCCCCTCGATCATAAAGAATAGAATATAACGTACATCTGATTGGTACGTTTGTTTGTACAACAATCAGCTCGTTTTTGCTTCTGGCCATAGGTGCGCATAGCTATCTGATAACAACAAAACTTCACTTAGTTGGGTCCTAACCAAACAGCTGCCTTGATTCTGGGCGCGATACCTCACCTGATTATTCGAGCTGCAATTTTTCTCATCCATCACATGATCATTTATGACGCGGCAGACCTGCTCTTTCAGCCGATTATTTGGACTGCAACAAGTCTGGCTCCATGCCCCCCGCTCTGGGCTGCGTTAAATTTGATCTCTCAACTGGTGGCTTTGACCGCAGCGAGTCTGATCTCCTGCTTGATGACTCGGATTGCGGAGGCTCTTAGCTCTAACCTCTGACTGCGACTGCCGATGTCTGATGCTGAGGACTGCCTCAGGTCTAATCTCTCACCTGATGAAGAGCGCGAGCGTCTCGCCGGGCATGAGCTCTCCCTTGACGAAGAAGTCCTGGTCGACGACGGTGGTTCCCAGGACCTGGAAATCCTGCGCCGCCGCCCAGCTGACCAGCAGCGCTGGTGGCCGATACCAAACCAGGTGTCAGGACAAGCACCGGAGCCAGGTGTCATGACAAGTACCAGAGCCAGGTGTCATGAAAAGCAACAGAACCAGGTGTCACGACAAGCATCGGAATCAGGCGTCAGAACAAGAACCGGAGCCAAGTGTCATGACAAGCACTGGAGCCAGGTGTCAGGACAAGCACCTGAGCCAAGCGTCAGGACAAGCACTGGACACGGGTGTCAGGATAAGCACCGGAGTCAGATATTATAACAAGTACCGGAACCAGGCGTCGGGACAAGCACCGGAGACAGGTGTTATGACAAGTACTGGAGCCTGTTGTCAGGATAAACACCGGAGTCAGATATCATAACAAGTACCGGAACCAGGCGTCGGGACAAGCACCGGAGTCAGGTGTCACGACAAGCACCAGAATCAGGTGTCATGAAAATAGTCGGATCCAGGTGTCATGACAAGCATCAGAGACAGGTGCCATGACAAACACCTGATCCAGGTGCACGGACAGGCACCAGAGACAGGTGTCATGACAATCACCGGAGTCAGATGTCAGCACAAGCACTGGAGCCAGGTGTTAGGTCAAGCACCGAAGTCAGCCGTCAGGACGATTATCGGTGTCAGGTGTCGGGACAAGCACCGGAACCAAGCGCCATGACGAGCACCGGAGCCAGGTGTCAGGACAGTAACTGGAGTCAGGTGTCAGGACAAGCTCCGGAACTAAATCTCATGACAAGCGCCGGAGCCAGGTGTCATGACAAGCATCGGAGAGAGGTGTCATGACGAGCACCACAGTCAGGTGTCGCGACAGGCACCAAAGTCAGGTGTCATGACAAGCACCAGAGCCAGACGCTACATTCCGGCGTCGGAATACAGGGGAAAAGAATCGATGTAGCGAGAATAACACCGGACGTTAGGATCATTCGAATACGTCAGATCATTCGAGATCGTCAGATCATTCGAAATTGCCTGATCATTCGAAGTCGTCAGTTCATTTGAGGATGACTAAAAAGGTGTCATATGAGGCTGGGACAACAAGGGATGCAGCCGAGCATAAGGCTGGCGATTATCTAACGTGCTGTGGAAACGTCGCACTCCATAGGTTAGTCGGACGCATTCGGATGCGTTGATTCCGAATATTGCCTCAGAAGTCGAGTCCTCGAAAAAATCAACCGCTGTAAGCAATTTAAGTTTTCTCGTCTGACTTTTTTTGTATATGACAGGGACTGAGGCCTATGCACGTTCCAAAAGCGTAGACAGTGAATACTATCCGGAGACATGGATTCATTACAATGCTATTTGAGTACCCTGGAGAGAGCATATCTCCTTTTCTTCCCTCGTAATGCTATTTTGACAAGCGCGTGCCTTGTAGTTCCAATCTTTCCGGTAGGTGACGACAGTTGTTATTGTTCTGTGTAGTAGTTGTTTTGCGTACCGGACGGCCGCCGGCGGCTCAGCCTCTTATCCTGAAGTTCGGCGTGGCAGACGGCAATAGGAGCAGCTCGCAGGTGGTTAACGCCCACTAACATTGTCATAAGAGTCTAGTTAACGTCCACTAACATTTCCATAAGAGTCTAGTTAACGCACACTAACAATGAGAGGAGGTGGGGACGGATAACGCGAAGAGAAAGTGAGGGTAAACTGATGATATTTTTGACGTGATTGTGCTTCATCATGCCGGTTCTCTGTTGCTTCAATTATTTGAAACCAACTTGATTAGTTTTTTTCCTGCCCCTCGATTTTACGTGTCTGCCAATTAGCGTTCATTGCTGACCAGTGAACGTACTGGCGACTTTATATGGCGGAGCATATAAAGCTACGACAGAGCGCTGGGGGAAATGTCGGAAGCAGTGAAAATATGCGATATTGGTGCTTTAGGCGACAAAACACGTGGCCTTTCCCCCTCAACGCCACGTGTTTCATATTCCTTATTTCTCGGCGACTGCTATCAACGATCACAGGTAAAATGACCAAAGTCGGCATTGTCCAGGTGAGTACATATAAAGCTGTTAAAAAGCCTGGTACTTGGGTATATCAGTGCGCCGTCTTCAGCGCTATCATAATCGTTTGTTTCATAATCTCGAGGACCACAAATACCACGCAACACTAGGGAGCTTCGTCTCTCACCCTTGAGCCTTTCCCTGCTCACTCTTTTCAAGCGCTCACTGTACTTCTATTTTTCTTACGGATCTCACCCAGAGCGGCTGTCAAGTGGACCATCAACAACCGTCATGGTGTTCCACGCTTCACCTCTCTCCTTGTCGCATTGCTTCAGAAGCGTCACAACTGGCCGAACGAGCAGCTCCTGAGCAGACTTCAAAAAACGTCACCGCGGCTAAGGCAGATTAACTGTTCCGAGTTATGCGAGTTTTGTATGCCCGGCTGGTGGAAAACGTCGGTTTTAAGCGACCCAAAAATATATGACAACAAGAAGCAGAAGCCCAAAACCTCCTTACCATATTTTTAGCCTCACAAGTCCGCTTATTGTTACTGAAACAGCCTTGTCGTTCTCCACATCTTCCCCGTAAAACCTCCCGGGCCCGTACATGCGTCCGTTACCGGATAGTAAGCTGGTCATGTGATCGCGTCCCGAGACGGCGACGACCAGCACGCAGCGGGGGGGGGGGGGGCTTCACCGGGCAGTTCGTGGCCAGTCAAGGTATTGGCAGGGTCTTTGCCTCGTGTCAGAAAGACTGGAACTTAAACTTTTCAATTAGACATAACGCGAGGAAGGATGTCGAGCGCCCCAGCTACCAGGGTGTGAATAAATGGCTGTAGCTTTGACAGCGTCTCGCCCCAGGGAAGAGCCAAAAGCTATTTGCTCGTAAAAGACAACCAAAGATAGTACATAGATGAAATACAAAAATCAAGTACATAGATCAAGCAATTCATGCAAGCCTGAAGCTAAAATGCCTGTTTGTGAACTGTTTGATGTCCCATACCATCGAGGAAATAACCGCAATCAGGTACATTTTGTAGGCTATGGTAGTTGTGCACCAGCTTCAAAACGCGGTGAAAATGTACATATTTGGATGCTAATCGCTGAACAATCGAAAAATTACGGCCAGTTGATGGCCATTACCGCGGTCTGCCTTTTTGCTAGTAGTTAGTAGTATTGTAATATCGGCACATAGAACCGGGCCCCACTTTCTCATGCTTGAGCTCGTACTGCACATGTTTATAGCGTTTTCAGACCCGGTTTTCAACAATACCACTTTTCGAGACACATCTGTGGTTGAACCACGACGAAATTTTTAGGATTCCTCCAGAGAAGCCTTGTTCGGGCAGTTGTGGCCATTTCCACGTAATGATATGAAGAGGAAAGGTAAGAAACGATTTATCACAAACGGCAGCGATAATTGGTCCAGATAATCGTGCTGTAGGCTAAATCAGTCTGTGCATAAGCCGTAGATACTCTGTCTGCAATTTGTAAGCCTTACATCATCTTTGAACAAACCTTGTGAGGGGGCTTACTTGGCGTGTAATGAAATCCGGTTAAGTCCGATTTTTATAGTCAGCCCCAAGCAAACCGATAAGGAAAGAGTGTAAATTGCTATGCCAGTGCACCAGAAATCCAAGCTGCGTATGTCCGTGCCGGTATAGCTCCTACGGCTCACATTCTCACATTTTCCCATTTCAGTTCACATTTTCTGCAGAAATGGGTGGCATTTCAACGACTTGCGCTGTTTCGCCTAAAGATCCTTCGTTCAGTCCATGGAAGGTATGACACAAACAGGTGAACACGGCATTATTGTGTCACCGAGCTCAAGTCTGCTGACCTGACCACTGTGAACCCAGGAAGTAAGATAGCCATCGTAAAAACCACTGGAATGACCCTGATCTGCCAAGCCTGGCCTAAATAACATGCACCTATCGCTCTGATGGTATTGCCAGCCATGATTGGGACCACTTACTTTAAACATAAGGTAGATCAGAGCGTAATTCCTATTCAGTTTGTGGAGGACTCCAGCCCCCCAACTTGGATCTCAGCCCGTGAACTTTGCATAGATAGTGAGCCAAATCCGTGGAGAGCCCTTTTGGTTGCACGTATGTGGGGTAGGTCTCGTAAATCTGTATCCGTTCAGTCCATCCCAACTCATGCTTCGGAACTACGTCACTGGGTTGGATGCATCAAACAGCTCATTCAAGGCACCTCGAGCGCTATCATCACATGAATAGAGCATCATTGATCTTATTGAGATTACTTTGTGGGAATTTTGCGTTTGTGTGGGTGGGAGTTTTACGTACATGTATGATCACATGCAAAAATGGAATTTTCGGAAACCTTCAATGCCTTTTAACGTTTTGAGCTAGCGAGAACGTGAAATTTGTGCTCAGGATGCTGAGACAAGTAGGATGTTGCCCAGAAGTAGGATCTGGGTTACTGCGATAAAAACTGAAACTGCCATCCTTTTGCTGACATCGGCTGTGATGGCAATACTTCACCTCAGTAAACTGAATATCATCCCGAGAAGAATATATGCTACTTGGTTGTAAGGAGGCTCTTCATGCGTGGCAATGTTCTGAAACGGAACATAGTTCCTGTCCATCTTAAAATCATTCCCAGCACCAGGAGTTCCTGAAAACTGACTTATTTTAATTTTTAACTAAGGGGCACTGGTGAAACCAACTCGGGGTAGTTGTAGTAGTTGTTCTTCATCAGGACGAGAACGATGTGATGGTTCCGGTAGCTGGTTCTGAGAGGAAAAGTGCATCCTTCACGCCCACGACATGTGGTGACTCCGGAATGTCACACCACCTCAACTCGCCACCGACATCCTCCTCCCCCCCCCCCCCCCCCCAGGAGAACACGCTCCGTGCGGCGGCGCGGCTGAGACCGCCAATCACCACAGCTCGCCGCCCAGGCTCGCGTCCGGCACCGTACACACTGATCGTCAGTCTGTGCTGACCACCATCCCGCGCTGGCCACGGGGATGAGTGGCTAGCGGTGACCGGCCGACGGCGATCACCGGTCAGATAGCTGGGGCGCTACCGCTGGGCATTACGTCAGCGCGGCACGTCTGGTTTTCCGACGCCAGAAAATGCGGACGCGACCGTTTTTACGATGATAGCTGAAGAGATGCTCACTCAAGGTGAGCCCTGAGGTAAGCCAGGAGGAGCCTGGGGAATGTCAAATATTACAGCAGAGCATTGCTCAGATCTCTTCCCAGTGTACGATCTTGAGGAACCCGGATTTGAGCCTGTATTGAAGGACCCTCCTCCTGTGATTGACATGTTAGCTGGAGCGTCGTCGTTGTTGAAACGAGTTTGCTCAACTACGACAGGTGACCGTCAAAACGGAGGCTACGTTCAACGCAGAGCGCTCGAGACATACCACTCAACCTAATGGGATTCCAAAAGGAAGTCATAAGCTGAGGAAATGGCGCCCACAAAATATCGCCATCTAGTCATTTTGCGCACCAGTCGCTAACTAAAGAATTGAGGGTCGCCAGCACACCTCATAACTTATCCCACATCCAGCAACCATGGTGCAAGAGACAGACAGCTCGGCGAGTGACAATTCTGCCCCAAATGTCCAGCTGATCTTGTCCGAAGGGCGCGGCCCAGATGAGGCAGGAGAGGCTGCCAAACATAACGGCTCGCGGGATCGTGCTCTGCACGGCGACTAGGCTGGGTGCGGCGTCCGAGCCGCTTACCTGCTGGGACGGGGCGCAGCGTATGGCGGCGCGAGCACAGCAGAGACCGCCAGCGCCGCTCGCTGCCGCCGCGTTCAGAGCGGGGAAGGCAGACGGAACACTCACCTGTTAGCACGATCCGGGGCGCGGCGGAGCACATGGCGGCGCGAGCACGGCAGAGCCCGCCGGCGCCGCCCGCTGCCGTCGAGTCCGGGGGCAGACTGAGCCTCTCGGCCCTCAGCCGAACCGGACCAGCCTCCCCCCCCCCCCCCTCCCTACCGCTCTTCCAACTTGGCGCCCCACAGGACTGCCTGGCGACCCTGGACCCACCGGAGGGCGATGGCCGACGCGGCACTGCGTGAACCGGGCATAATCGGATAGCCCTCCCAGATCACAAACCTCCCGACCCGGCGGACGCCGGAGGTTGTTTAGATTAGCCGCAATCCCTCAGAATGCCCTCTGACGCTAATGCTGCTTACGCAGCGCTTTCACCATGGGGACAAGTGCCTGGTGAGATGGCCGGTGTTAGCCCGTGCCCAGCCGTGAGATGGTTTTTTGGTCTTCCCAACGGTTTTTCGAGCATAATTAAAAACATTCTGGCAGCACCACCAACTTTCTATCCCCTGTATATCAATTCCTGAATATCACCTGTTAAAGGAATATCACCTGTTTATCAATTTGGCGTACTTGGTACAAAATCTGTAGTTTTAACCTACTTAAGTCAAAAAACTACCTAATCACATAACTTCCCTTTTGCTTACATGCTATTGTTCAGATCATGCATAGCAATGGAATATGAGCGTAGTTGCAGTTTAAATATTTCGGACTTTTCAAAACAGGCGAGGTCATTGTCATGAGTACAGGCCATGTTTGCTATTTTTTGTAAATGATGTAAATTTGAAGGCATTTTTCAAAAAGGCTAACTAAAAAAAGAATGCTAACTCACGTGCACAACCATTAGATGACCACAGATCACATGACCTTGACCCAAGTCATGACCTACCTCAGTGGTTGCCTTCTGCAAAAGACATACTAAGCTGAAAATAGGCAGTTTTATTCGGCAATTTTGGGCGCAGAATTCGATTACTTCCATGAAAACATGGTGTGATATACTTATGATGCCTTATAAGGCCACAACAGGTCACGTGAGGACATTCAAGGTCATATGAGGTCATCTAAGGTGAATGACTTCTGTTGTAGGTAGTGGAGAGGCTAGATGAACGGATGTGACGCACGTGGCCACCTCTATATCGTGTTTGGAAAGCTGATGATGATGATATGATTTACGAACTTGCCTGTTCTCAGTTTGCTACAAAGACATTACCAAACGTCGAGAGGACCATGTATGGTTCAAACACGGCTATGCGATCTTCAGTCTCTTTGATGTACAGCGCACTCTTTCTGACCACAGAAAAGTATTGTACTGGTCGCTTGGACCCAGTTAGCGCTTAATTCCTTCGTGGAGATGATTT